GTTGACGTCCTCGTTTTTTTGAATTCGGGGCAGCGCACAAGAAGGGTTATGATCAGTAATATCCAGAACTGGAGTAACTGTTGTAATGAGCTCAAAAATAGTTGGTCAAATTTCTGATTTTCGAAGTACCTTTGTTTTGCATGTCGCCTCAGATGCTCATCGGTAAATTAATACTATAGATAATTAACTACTGAAACGTAGATAGTAAACAGAATTAAGGAAGCGATGGAGAGTAATTTATGCCCGCGTTCTGCCCTGCGCTTCACGATGAAGAAGATGGGTGGAAATTCACCGCTGATTATTTGTATCCAGTCTGTGTTGCGTTCTGTTAGTGTTTAAAAATAAGATTAGCTGCCTATTTTTCCCAAAAAAATCGTTCTTATGCAAATTATTTTTTCGAGAAAAAACAGGCAGCATAGCTCGATTGAAGTGACCAGTCTAAAAAAGTTGTTGAATGTTTGCATATAAGAGTATTTATTTTAGTAACTTTCATATAAAAAAACCATGTCTCTACATACGAAACACTATACTAGCTGTCGCTCGCGAGAGTACTGACGCTATATGCCCAACATAATTTTACAGTTTTTCTGACTGCTGGAGTAGGTTGTTCATTATAAGCCTCCACTACCTAGGGTAAGTACTAAGTTGACCGGAAAGAACGCTCTACAATATTACGTGTACATATAATTGTAGACAGTTATAGTGCAATTACCACCATTCTGCGACAACCGTTTTTCGTGCGTGTTGGACCCAGTCTAGAGATTAAAATGGCCTATAAAACAGACGCACAACGTATGATTCAGACGCCTAGGTCGGTTTGGTATACGAAATCGTGTCCTAAATTTTATGCAGTTCAAACGGTTGCCTAATTCCAACGACGAAGGCAAGGCTGGAATGAAAGGTGTGACGGCTTGTTTGGCCGAGTCGACTCTCTATCCTCTTACTTAACAAGATAGTACACAGCCTTGAGAAAGGATTGAGCCTTGAGGACATGTTTCATTGGCACCTCTCGCCTCATCTCCGTGGACACACTGAAGCTGCGCACGAAAATAGCTAAACGTAATTTCCACTCTGCATACTTCACGCAACGGGCCATAGAACAATGGAAGAAATACCCACGATCAGTCATGGAGGCGACGTCGCTACAATTATTCAAAGAACTCTTGGATAATTATATGTGTCCGCTGTTTTCCCTTGAACGTATGAACTCGAGCTAACACCACACAAACTACAGACAAGAGTTATTTGTAAAAACAATGCTACTCACCGTTTATGAATACCCTTTTACGTGAAAATTTATAGACGTACTTGTACAACTGCATATGACCCACCGCCATGTAATCAATACGGTTTTAAAATGCATTGTCTATTACCCCTACTAAATAAACTGAAATAACCAGCGAAGGCCTTTTTCCCCGCAAGAAGTGCGAGTAACCCTTTCTCTGAGTGAAAATTGCATCAGAACCAGTGTGCTTGATTTCTATACCTCCGTGCTCACCTACCATAGAAACAAAGTCCACCGCAAAATAA